AAAACTCTGCTCTGATGTCCCGTGTTTAACAAGGACACCAATAAAACAACCTTTTTTTCCAGCTCATATTTTGTTTGTGGTCTAATAAGTTATGATTTTATCTAACACCGTTTCACTGGCTTTTTTAACCTTGTAGCGTGTGCGTGCGTGCGTGCGTGTATTTGCCTCCTTTCCTAACTTCTTTTGTCTTTGTGTTTTCCAGATGTATCACTCTGACCATGGTGTAGACTTCCCTGACCTCTCCTTCCAAATCCCTGGCTGCCCTGCAGAGAGAGGCCCAGCAAACAGAGTGTGAATACAACTGCCAACACACCTCGTTTCAGCCTCCCCCCCCTCACCCGTACAGGGCCTCGCTCAGCTGCTGCAGCTCCAGTCCCTCCCTCGCTCCTCATAGGCCATGGACAGCCCCCCTAAACTGTCTGGTGAGACGCTGATTGTGCACCACATTCCCCTGGTGCACTGTCAGGTGTCGAGTAGGCGGCAGGGTGGCTGCGGGAGCTCGATGAAGAGGACCAACCCTTTTAGCCCACCAGAGAACCTGGGCTTGAGTCGCACCACTTCCCTTCCGGAGAGAGACGTCCTCCAGAGAGAAGCTCTCCTCTACAGCAGCCTGATCCAGACCTCGAGTGGCTCCTGGTCCTCCCACAATGGAGGAAGAGAAAGAAAGGGTGGCGGGAGAGGCGGCAGCACAGCCAGCGATGATTCATCATTTGCCTCGAGCAATTCGGAGGACCAGCTGATTACAGCGCACACATTACCCAGAGCCAAGCCGAGGAACAGGAATCCATTCCGTCACAATCCTTTTCTGCTGAATACCGAAGAGGACGAGGATGACGAAGGGGAAGAAGATGACGGTGACAACCTCAGTGGTTACCTTGAAGACTCTTCCTTTCACCTTCACAGTGACGCTCACTCTGCTCTCAATGACGGTTTGACTTCCTTCCATTTGCACGACCTTGGTTTTGCTCAACAGCCCTTCCTCCTTCACAGCTCAGTGGGAGGAAGTAGTGGGGAGTCCCTGAGAGGTGGCGCCTCGGATCTTTCTAACCACCTAGAAGACCTCGAAATTTTGGAACTTGCCAGTCAACGGCGCCATGGAAGCAGTGGCTCCAACATGTCGATGGACTGCGGAGATCAAGATTGGGGCGATGACGACGAAGAAGACGAAGATCATCCGATGAGGTGTGGGAGAAGCAGCAAGACGGGCTCCTACTCTTCCAGCTCTTCCACACAGCACTGCTCCTGCTGTACTCTCTCCCAGAATTACCCTCGGCACTTCCCCGAGGCGTTCTCCGAGCCGTTCTTGGAGTGCCAGCAAGGCTACGGCAGCGACTCCTCCTGCAACAGCTCCGATGGCGTGCTCGTCAACTTCAGTGCCATCTACAACAAGATGAACAACAGCGTCCCAGAGAAGCCACCAGTCTCCGGTCCCACCAACCTCAACAGCTCCACCGACCACTCCTGCACCTCATCTGCTTCCGATCTACCAGGAAACCGAGACTCAACTGGAGGGGCTTTCTATCTGGACCTTCACACTTCTCCAACCGAACCTCCTCTATCTCAACAACTTGGAAACACATTCCCTCTCATCCGTGAACCACGCCTGTCCTCTTCCTCCACCTGTTCCTGCTCAGTGGAGCACCAGGGGGCTCTTGACCTCGATGCCAACTGCAACTCCTACCACCCTCCTCACGCAGGGTCCTCTGGCGACCTCGCTTCCTGTCTCCAGAGTCAGGCACGACTGGTCGTCGCCACCCAGAACTACTACAAACTGGTCACGTGCGACCTTTCGTCGCAGTCGTCCCCGAGTCCCGCGGGCTCCTCGGTTCACAGTTGCTCAGACGAACACAGCAAAGGCAGCCCCACCCCGACTCAGCCGAGTGAGTACTTCCTCTTCAGGCAGCAAGCTTACGAGGAAGGAGTGGAAGAAGAGGATGAAGAGGGAGAGACATCTAGGGTGAGTGGAAAATCCGGCCTCTGTAGTTTTAACTGTTTCTAATCCATTTCAGGAAACACTGCATGTAAAGGTCCACACAAGAGTGGAAATGCAGTCCACTAGAAGTGCGACCAAAGGGTCAAAGTTCATCAGCTATTTTGTGATGTAAAATTGTAACACTGACAAAACTAAAATGTCATATTGGGTTCCATTTGATATAATATGATTATAATCGAATATGATCAGTGACAGTTTTGTTTTCCTATTTATTATGTGCAAACATAAATACACTGATTTACTGAATAACTGCAGCACTTAACTGTGAATGAGGATTTATGATGATAAAGAATCTATAATCCAAGTCGAAATCAGAAGATCTAGTCTTTGATTTATCCTCCACTGAATCTGTGTTTAATGTTTTTAGTTAAGTAAAAGTCAGTTTAATTACGTTACACAAACAAGTGATTATGATGTAATAGAGGTGGGAATCACCATACAACGCACGATACGATATTATTGCAATTTTTTTTTAATTATTTTGCGATATTCAAATTCTGTACATAAAGGTAAACTTTATCAATATTCATTTTCTCTAATATCAAAGTCTCACACTCAGTCTTTCTCTCATTTCAGTTTGATTGTTGACAAACTGAACGGTTTGTATTACAGTCTAGTCCAACTTAACTGAACGCATCCATCTGGTACAATTATAACTATTCTGAACTATGCAGTTTATGAAAACTATGCAGCCCCTTCAGCAACTGAAGAATTTGAAAGTAAATTAAAACAAAATATAATTTTACATTAAATAAAAAAGTTTTAAACGTAATTAAAATAAAACTTGTCTTAAATTAAAATAAGTAAACAAACACATTTGGACAGTGAAGGAATGTCAGGATTCTTGCTCAGAAAAAGGATCAACATGCTCTGAAGTCAGAGCACAAAAACCTTTTTTGTAACAAAATATCGATTTCTGCTGTCCCTGTTTCGATACATTATTAGCAAACTTATAATATGAAGCACTTCGCGGTGACTGTTGTTGATATTTATGTAGCTAAAACTAAATTGAATTGGTCAGTGAAGCAAGACCAAATCAACAACAGAGACAGAAATTACATCTGACTCAACAGAAAAGGAAAAATGGGGAGAAGAAACATAAAGAGCTCCTAAACTGTAAATTAAACTGAAGGCCCCGTAACAGTGAAAACTTTAAATAGCAATAACACTGGTATTAGTCTGGCACTGGCTCATTTTAGACACTAGCCACCGCCTGCAGTTATCTGCTCATGTCTGAGGATTATTTTAGCACTTGTGTAGACTGAAGGGTATTAATATCAGTCGGTAACAGTGCCACTGCCACTGTGTCAAAGCAAATCTGGATTAGTCCGTTTAAGCCTTTGGTTTGTTTTTAATTTGACTCTTAATTGACCTCTTAACCTCTTAATTGACCTCTTAACCTCTTAATTGACCTCTTAACCACAGCTAGTTATGTGTTTTATTTTATAATCTCTTGGAAAAAGTTTAACTTTCAGTCTTTTCTTTTCATATTCCTCTTTATTCAGCAGGATGATGATGATGATTATGATAATGACAATGATGAGGATGAGGAGAAGAAGAAGAATCAGCAGGGAGCTAAAGCTGGTCCTGTGATTGAAGGCCAGGTGTACGTCAACATTTCTCCTCCTCTGTCTGGTCGCGGCGTTATCGGAGCGTCTGCAGGAAGCCGTCCACGTTCTCGCAGCTACGATCGCAACCTGGACAAGTCTCCGTCTCCACGGCTCGGCTCGCTGGAGCGGATGCTGAGCTGCCCCGTCCGGCTCAGCGAGGGCGCTGCCGCGACCCCGCCTCCTCCTCCGAGGGTCACCTCCTTCGCAGAGATAGCTAGAAGCAAACGAAGAAATGGAGGAGCGGGTGGATCGCCCTCGGTGAAGGCTGCTTCAGACGCCGTCTCCTCTCACTCGCACTCCTCAGTGGACTTTTCTCCGATCCTGGAGCAGCGTGTCGAGGCTGACAGTCAGGCCCTGTCGCCTGTACCCTTTACCAGATGTTACAGTCAAGGCAGCATAGAGCGACACCTGGAAGGGGGGAGAGAAACCCGGGCCAAGGCAGAAGGTACACCACCTCTTACACTGCACAACAACAGTGTAAACCTCATTTATTCATTCATTTAGGTTGCAAAGGGACAGAAGAGCTTAAACTGACAGTTTTTACGCTTAGAGAATTTCCCATCTACATATCCGCCTCGAGCACATTTGCATTAATTTGTTCTCCTTCTGTCCACCTAATGAATGGAAGTCTGATACATTGTTTCCTTTTAACTAATCTGGGCTCTGCAAACTCCAGTGGAAAGTATTTGGTTTGATAACAGCTGATGTCATGCAATAATGACATATAAATGCAACATGTTTGGGAGGTTCCCCTGCACCCTGAGCCAATAGCAGCGTCACGAAGGTATGACTCATGTGATCAAGCCCTGACTGTGAGTTCGTTATAGGGGAAAGAAAGAAGAACACAACCGTTTCTGATTTTTAAA